ATCACACTAATGCCTCCACTATCTTTTCAGCTATCTCCTTAAGTACTCTGGGATGTAGTCCATCTGGTCCTGGTGATTTATCCATCTTCAGGCCATTCAGTTTTTCTAGCACCTTCTCCTTGGTGATGGCCACCATACTCTGCTCTGCCCCCTGACTCTCTCGAATTTCTGGGATATTACTCATATCTTCCACTGTGAAGACTGATGCAAAGTAATTATTTCTTTCCTCAGCCATTTCCTTGTTCCCCACTTCTATTTCTCCAGTGTCATTTTCCAGTGGTCCATTATCTACTTTTGCCCTTTATATATCTAAAGAAACTCTTATAGCCCTCCTTTGTATTATTAGCTAGCTTACCTCATATTTAATCTTTTCACTCCTTATTTCTTTTTTTGTTGCCATCTGTTGGTCTTTGTAAGCTTCTCAGTCCTCTGGTTTCCCACTGCTCTTCACCATATTATATGCTTTCTCGTTTGATTTTACGCTATCCCTGACTTCCCTCGTTAGTCATAGTTGCCTCATCATCCCTGCACCATGCTTCTTTTCCCTCGGGATGAATTTTTGATATGTCTCCTGAATTACTCCTAGAAACTCCTGTCATTGCTGTTCCAATGCCTTTCCTGCTAGGCTTCTCTCCCAGTCAATTCTGCCCAACTCCTGCCTCATGCTTCTGTAGTTGCCTTTATTCAGCTGTAATACCATTACCTCTGATTCTATCTTCTCCCTCATAAATTGCAGAGTAAATTCCATCATATTATGATCACTGCCTCCAAAAGGGTTCCTTCACCTTAACCTCCCTTATCAAGTCTGCCTCATTGCACAACACTAAATCTAGTATTGCCTGTTCCCTAGTGGGTTCCACCACAAGCTGCTCCAAAAAGCCATCTTGTAAAGCGTCAGAAGAATCACAGGTGTATGTGGGCAGGGACTGAACCAGCAGAGAAGACTGAGTCAACAAGGAATAGATTTGCTCTGTGGGGCAGGAGCAGGCTGAAACAATGGGTCTGCCTGGCCAGTCCCGTTTGTGGATTTTTTTTGGAAAGAGGAAGAAGGGAGCTGTGCAGAGCTGGGGGACTATCAGGTTGGAGGCAGTGGCATGGGGGGGGAGATCATCAGATGAAATGAGGTCAGTTACCATAGTTGATACAATGGCCTGCTGTGTCATAATGGGGATTCCTCTCTTCCCCCTGCAACAACGATAGGGTTCGCCTTGTCCTTACTTACTATCCCACCAGCATCCACATCTAGAAGATCATCCAACGTCATTTCTGCCACCTCCAGCGAGATGCCACCACCAGACGCGTGGCATCCCCTCCCCTCCCCTGCCCTCCCCACCCTTGTCTGCCTTCCGAAGGGACAGTTCCCTCTGGGACTCACTGGTCCACTCTTTCTTCACTCCCAACACCATCCCCACACAGCCCAATGGCACCCTCCCCTGCAACTGGCGAAGGTGTAACACCTGCCCATTTACCTCCTCCCTCCCCAGTATCCAAGGGCCCAAACATACCTTCCAGGTGAAGCAACACTTCACCTGCACTTCCCAGAATCTAGTCTACTGCATTCACTGCTCACAATATGGTCTCCTCTCCATTCGGAAACGAAGTGTAGGCTGGGTATCGCTTCGTAGAACATCTACGTTCTGCTCACAAAAAAGACCCTGAGCCACTTTAATACACTACTCTGTTCCCTGGCCAACATCTATGTCTCAGGCTTGCTGCAGTGTTCCAGCAAAGCTCAGTGCAAGCTGCAAGAACAACACTTCATTTTGGGGAGGCAATAGCCTAGCGGTATGTTGGACTGCTGGACTGTTAATCCAGAGACCCAGATGATGTTCTGTGGACCCGGGTTCGAATCCCGCCATGGCAGATGGTGGAAATTGAAATCTGTGAATGTCTAGAATTAAGAATCCAACGATGACCATGAATCCATTGTCAGTTGTCAGAAAAAGCCATCTGGTCCACTAATGTCCTTTAAGGAAGGAAACTGCCATCCTTACCTAGTCTGGCCTACATGTGACTCCAGAAGCACAGCAATGTAGTTGACTCTCAGCTGCTCTCCGGGCAATTAGGGATGGGCAATAAATGCTGCCTAGCCAGCAACGCCCTCATCCCGTGAATGAATAAAGAAGAAAAAAATAATTCCACTTCGGGACCTTTCAGCCCTCTGGACTCAATATCAAGCTCAATAATTTTAGGGCCTCTCTTCTCCTAGTCTCCTACCCCACACACCAGGCCTTGTTATCACATAGCCTGCCATCACACACTACTTATTGTTAGTCACTGACTGTTCCCATTAACAGCTATTCACCCTCCTAGCCAGGGTGTTATCAACACTTTGTCTATCCAACTGCTCTTCTCTCTCTTTGGGCTCTATCCCTACTTATCGTTTACACTCTATGCCCCCACCCCATCTTCTGCATATAAACCGACGTTTTCCTAGCTACCATCAGTCCTGAGGAAGGGTCACCAGACCCAAAACGTTAACTCTGACTTTTTCCATTACAGATGCTGCGAGACCTGCTGAGCTTTTCTAGCAACTTCCACTACTTTTGATGATGTGCAATGAGGCCCTCAATGAAAAAAGGGCAAATTCAACATCACTAATTACCAAAATGAACAGATCTACTATGTAAACGACAAATGGAAATAGGTTGTTGGTACTACACTTAAAATAGAAAATACACAAAGGGAACACAATTGCAAAATAACTTACATATTCCCCAGGTAAAATGGAACATGAATATTACTGCAAAATAGAAGACACGTTGCTAAAGTTTTCATCTTGCATTCATCAGGACAAATGCAGGATTGCCAAATTTCAAACAATCACTACAACTCATATTACACGAGAAAAGGGTCCTGACTGGTTGGCAAGTTATGTGATTGGCTAAGGTGTTGCCATGGAGAAAGCTCCTAGGTAATTTTAAAGCAGCACAAAGCTTGAACATATTCTATTTGCTTACAGAAAATTAGTCCCAGAATATTAGTATATTTCACTTCTAGCCTATGTTCATGTTACAAACTTAAATTGGTCGTTAGTGCAGTTACTAGCATACTCAGGATTGTTTACCAAGTATTGTTCAATAATAGAATCACATCTCATAGTGCACATTTTGTTTTGAGCTTTGCAAGTGCAGGCTGATTTAGTATGGTTGGTACTCTGTCTCTATTTATGAGCAACTGAAGGATCATGAAGTTGTTTGTACCAATCAGCCAACTATTTGGATGTTCAGCTTAGGCACAATGTTTTGGATGGAGCAGCAACCTGTCAGTGCACCATACCACTTGTGGCATTGCAAAACAGCAGCATGAAACTGCTTGCTTAATCTGCTGTTCAGTTTATCTGAGATACATTGCCTTACCAGGTTAAATTGAGGTAGACCTGACACTGCTCAGGTCTGGAAGTGGTGGCCTTTGGCTCACCTTGTAAGCTTGATGCAGAAATAGAGCGCATCAAAATTAAGACTGCATGGCAATGGCTATCCAGATTAGATCATTGTTCTGTTCTTCCATAGTATAAGTTGTCCTGATTGTTTGAAATTTGGCTTTCTTGCAATTGTCCTGATAGTATAAGATGAAAAGCTTTGATAAAATATCTGCTTATGAGGCAAGAACCTAATTATTCTTTGCCTAAGAACAATGTAAACAGTACAAAGAGTAAAGGATATCCTGTAACATTTGTCAGACAGTAGCATCATTAGAATGCATCAGAAAAGTGTTATGGAAGTCACTTGTCTAAACTTCATATAAAACAATCATGGGCTGGAAACAAATGAGATCTCTTTTACTTGCAAAATATTGCAATAAAACATTTACAAAACTCATAGTCGAGTAGTTGTTTTAAGTTTTCACAATAAGCATTAGATCCTCATGAAGTTTTTGTGAAGATACAAATTCAATACATGTTAATATTGTTTGAGATCCAAATGAGAAGCTGTAAAACATTTAGTGGGTTAGGCTGATGATAGCAGGATGACAGACAATTACAACTGTTTCTCTCAAGTCTTAATTGCTTTAGTAAAGACACAACCGAGGTGTGCAATCAGAAAATATTTAAGTAAATATAACTGTATAAACAGGTCTAGTCCAACACGTCCAGGCATGTCTGAATAGCATTTCACAATAGCTATTTTTCAAGAGGTGGTTTTTTTCAGGGTGCTGATTAAAACTGGAAAGAGCATTTCAGCAGTGATTACATGTACAATGTTATTTATTACACACTTGTATTACAAGTTTAATGTCAGTGAAAATTTACTTTAGGGCTTCACACCAATGCTAAAATTGTGGAGCAGAAATTAGAGATCAAGACCTGAACAGAACATAGCCAAGTTAGACTATCTTGCCTCAATAATCATTGCTCCAGTTTCAGGTTGTTATTGGATTCCAAAATGGGCTGCATTTACACTACAACTCCTCTCGTAGAGGAAAATGGGGATCAAGTGTGATCTCTAGTCTACTACTTTCAATACTGTATGCCCAAAAGCTCTATACACACAACATAAAATTTAAAAAAAAACTTCTGATCACACAATACACATAAGTAAATACTATTTTAAATTGTTACCACAAGGTTATCCTTGAGAAATCCTATCCAATATCTGTGGTTCTACTATTGTTGTTGTAGTTAACAACAGCAAAATGTGTCAATATATAACAGTTACAATAGGAGTCAAAACTCAGATATCCAGAATCAAATTAAAGCAGTGTGATTGAAATTTAGGCAACAAAGAGAGAAATTTTTGTAAAAGGTCAGCAGGTCTGGCAGCATCTGTGGACAGGAATCAGAGTTAACATTTTGGGTCCAGTGACCCTTCTTCAGAACTGGACCCAGAGTCACTGGACCCGAAATGTTAATTCTGATTACTCTCCACAGATGCTGATAGACCTGCTGAGCTTTTCCAGCAATTTCTCTTTTTGTTTCTGATTTCCAGCATCTGCAGTTCTTTTGGTTGAAATTTAAAAAAATGTGAATGAACGGAACGTTTATAAATTTCACTCATTACCATGTCAAGATTCTGCATCACGTCCTGGAAGGAGGGGTGTGTGCGGAACTGTTCGAAGAGATCCCGTTTGTACAGGAGTGCATACACTAGGTTCGGGTTGTGGTGAAGAGAAGTGGAAAGGCAAGAATTTATGATCTCCAGCATCATTCGGATCACCTCTTCAATTACATTGAGGTCTTGAGCCTGTGAGAGCGAAAGTATAAAAATAAGTTTTAGCTTGTTCCTCTACAATAGAAACAGACAGTTGTGCACTGTCTGACTAATGATACATCAATTTCAGTATCTGTGAAATGACAATAATTCATGTAAGAAAATTGAAATAAAAGCAAAGTCAGAAATCACATGACACCAGATTATAGTCCAATAGGCTTATGTGAAATCAAACTTTCGGAGCACTGCTCCTTCAGCAGGTGAAGTGGAGGGAAGCACACATGCACAGAATTTATATGCAGACAGATAATGACAAGATAATTCCAGGTAATTAAGAGGAGTGTCAAAAGGTAAATACAAACTGTATGAGTGGAGTGTGAACAAGCTGAATAACAAATCTTTGCAGGTGATCAAAAGTATCATACGGTGTGAGTAAAGTGTCAACAGCTGAATTGCAAGTGAAGGGATGACTTATGATCTGACTAATTAGGGCAGAGAGATAATTACAAAAAAATCAAAAGTAAGACGGTGCTAGAGACAAATCAAATGGCTGGAAAACATGACAGGTATGAGTCACATGACAAGGGTCTAACCAACGTAACAAGTAATCCAAAATTGTACAAAATAATTAAGGTAGAGAGATAATAACAAGTTATCAAGGTGATGGTGTCCAAACAGAACAGTAAGGAAGATTTTACACAGAACAGTATGATGGGGTTGTATGCAGCACGACATGAACCTAAGATCACAGTTGAGGCCAGCCTCATGGGTACAGAACTTGGCTATCAGTCTCTGCTCGGCGATTCTGCATTGTTGCTTATCCCAAAGCCCATGTTTGAGGATGTGACTCAGCTAACTTTGTTTACCTCATACACTGACCAGTTCTACAATACACATAGGCTCACACTACACACAAGGAGTTACTGGATAGTAAACAAGTATGGGAACTTTAAATCAGGTCTTAACTCATTAGATTTGCAAGGTTTTTAACAAGTAAAACAGTTTAAATAAAACTATTTATTAAAAACATAACAGGAGGTTTGAATGTTGTTGCACATTTCAAAGATTTAAGCCAGCTGCAATTGAAAGCCACTGGTGCCCTGCAACACAGATCTCAGCTGGACATTGTAAGTGAGGGAAGAGCATCTCATCTGCACACAACAGACAGCTTCAAATACTTCTTTGGCCACATTGTTGGTGCCCAACCGTGTCTCACACACAGAATTTTGAACGGATGCCCAGTCATGAAAGAAACAAAAACAAAATCCATTTATATAACTCCTTCTATGATGAGGTCAGAAGTCACATAACACCAGGTTGTAGTCCAACAGGTTGATTTGAAATCAAGTGACTTCACCTGACGAAGGAGCAGCGCTCTGAAAGCTTGTGATTTCAAATCAACCTGTTGGAATATAACCTGGTTTCATGTGACTTCTGACTTTGTCTACCCCAGTCCAACACAGGAACATCAACATCATCCTTCCATGATCACCAGATATCCCTTATGTGTTGCACTACTGGTGTCTAGTCACTGTCGCAATTGCTCTTCAGCAAACAAGTGCAGTGGGATTCTTCATGCCTAACTGAAAAGGGAAAACTGCCTTGGTTAGCGTCTCTTCTGAAAGTACCCCCAACAGTGCACAATTTAATTAAGTGCCAGGCTATATTTTTGTATTCAAATCCTGAATTGAGACTGGGACCCACAACCTTGTTTATATCTGAGTCATGGCTAACAGGAGGAGGATTTACCAGGGAAACATGCGTCATTCCCTAATGCCACCTCCTCATGATATCCCTACCCTGATCCAGTGACTGCCTCAGAAATCTAAGCTCCCTGGTGGGGCTGAGTTCTATTGGTACGACATTTTTTAAAAATTCATTTATGGGATATGGGCAGTGCTGGCTGGCCAGCAGTTATTGCTGGTTGCCCTTGAAAAGATGGTGGTGAGCTGCCTTCTTGAACTGCTGCAGTCTTCCTGCTGTGGGTTGACCTACAATGCCATTAGGGAGGGAATTGCAGGATTTTAACCAAGTAACAGTGAATGAATAGCGATATATTTCCAAGTCAGAATGGTGAGTGGCTTGGAGGTGAACTTGAAGGTGGTGGTGTTCCAATGTACCTGCTGCCCTTTTCCTTCTGGATGGAAGTGGTCATGGGCTTTGAAAGTGATGTCCGAGGATCTTTGGTAAATTTCTGCAGTGCGTCTTGTAGATAGTACACACTGCTGCTTCTGAGCGTCGGCGGTGGAGGGAGTGGATGTTTGTGAATGTAGTGTCAATTAAGTGGGTGACGTTGTTCTGGTTGGTGTCAAGATTTTTGAGTGTTGTTGGAGCTGCATACAGCTGTGCAAGTGGCGAGTATTCCATTATACTCCGGACTTATGTCATATAGATGATGGACAGACTTTGGAGAATCAGAAGGTGAGTTGCTCACTGCAGTATTCCTAGCTTCTGACCTGTTCTTGTAGCCACTGTGTTTATGTGGCGAGTCCAGTTGAGTTTCTGGTCAATGGTAACCGCCGGGATGAGGACAGGGGGTATTCAATGATGGTAACACCATCGAATGTTTAGGGGTGGTGGCTAGATTGTGTCTTATTGATAATGTATATTGAACTGAATTATTGTCACATGTACACAGATGAGTGCAACGAAAAGTTTGCAACTTGCCGCATATGCAGCCATCTTAGGCACTAATGAACTAGGTGCAGATTCTTCAGTGCAAGATCTTAGGGAAAAGAAACTTAGAAAATAAAGAAACAAAAAGTCCAGCATTGCTGATTATAGGCATTAATTACAAAACAGAGGTTCTCCAGGCTGGGAGACTGCTCCAGGATCATCTGAAGACCAGAAGTGCATTCTGAGGCCGTGCTGACCTGAAAGACCGCCATGGGCCACAGAAAGACAACCACGCTAGGCTGAGAGATCACTATGCTGGGCCGAGAGACCTGGCATGGTCATAGCTTGGCACCTGTGTGGTGCAAATGTTACTTGCCATTGGTCAGCTGAAGCCTGGATATTGACCAGATCTTGCTGAATTTGTACAGCAATTTCAACAGCAACATGTACCTGTTTTACACAGTTACGTACATTGTTTGCAAACTTCAAAAATTCTGAAAATAAATTAAGAAAACCTAGTCAAGAAAAACAAGTAAGCATTTGTAATCAGTCTGAAACATCCTGAATCTATTATAAAACTCCTTCCTCTGAGACAGTCCCTTCGGATTGAGGGTGACTAGCTATCATTCTGATTTAATAGATTCTGAAATGTCTTACAGGGACGATAAGAAATCTGCAGACTCTGTGACATGCAGGGCATGTGATGGTTGAAAGATTGGGCAGATGAGTTGTTGGAGGTTTGACACCCCTCTCCTATGCCGGACATTCTACCTCTGTTTGTTTCCGACAACATCTCTTCATGTGTTCAACACATTCCCAGATGAACTTTCTCCATTCTTGCCAGTCACAAGCCAGGATACATTTGAGTCTGCAGGGATGTTTGATTTTTTCAAGAACACTTTAAGGACATCCCTAATGCATTTCCGCTGTCCTCTTAGGATTCTTCTGCCATGATTAAGTTCTGTGTAAAGCAGTTATTTCAATAGTCTGGTTTTGGGCATATAAAAAATGCATGACATCTTGTTCAAATAGAATAACTTAATGTTCAAATAATGTAACTTCTATTTTAAGGTTTTCTACCTATGCTTTTTTCCACTATAATGCTAATATAAAAGACAATGTCAACTTTTGCCTCTTGCAATTTGTGGGCTTCTCGTCAATAGGTGGTGATGTGATGTCCCTCAGTTTAGTTGTCTAGCTGAAGTCAATTCTTTAACATCTAACTGAAAACAGAAGTTTTAAATGAGAGATTTTTTTTTGTCTGCTGTGAAAGTGAAATTTCTAAAAAGAACCTGAAATGAAAATTCTCTCGGACCTTGCCAAACGATATGAATCTTTTAAAACATTCTCAATAGCCACATCAAAATGACTATGGTCTAACCATGGCTTCTTTCCCAGTCATACGTCCTCTTTCATTCTAGTTTTGTTTCTTCTTCGTCTCTTACTGCACATCTTGTTGCTGAGATGGGGTTGTTGGGAATGGCGTATACTGGAGCAGTCTTTCCAAAAGCAGGATTTCCCTTCCACTTTACCAGTGCTTCCTCACTTCTACAAGCCTTGCTTCTCATCTCTAACACTTTAGTTTTGAAGTAACTATATTATAGTGTACTTACCTGCATTGCAAGAACTGTAAATATGGTGATTTGAAGAAGAGTGGAAGAAAAGAATAATATATGGCATTAGCAATGGTAAAAAGGAATCGTGGTAATTGAAGTTTCAAGTACATGATGAAGCCAAGACAGATGTGCTGGCAGCATGGGTTTAAAGGTAAGAGACACAATAAGTGACCCTAAGAGAAGGAAGGGAAAAAAAAAAAATCGAGTTTCTGCTCCTGCTCTCCATTACATCTGCTCCATCTGTGTGCATCAATGTTTAATTAAGAACAATATCACGTTGTCCATCATGCACGTCAAATTCAAATTACTCTTAAATTATTGTCTTTTTCATAGAAAAATTGCCAAAGCCATACTTTCTTGCCTTATCATTAACATCTTCAAAGAGATCCAATGAACTTGTTCAGCAAGACATTCATTCAATAAATCAGTGCTGCCTCCCTCTTAATATGCCAAATTAAATGTTTCACTATCCTCTCATATGGCTTAGATTTATAACTGACACCATACAGTCCACAATTCAAGTGAGGATATTATTTGGGTTCAACAGTCTGTAGACTTCTGTGTTGAAATGTTCGAATATGTGAAACAGGTCAGGTATAAGCTAAAAAGGTTAATTCTAAAATTAGATCTGGACTTACTAAAATCATAACAACAGTTTTGCTTGCACTGTTTCAAAAATTATATCAGGTTTTTGGAAATAGTTGAAAGCAGAGTTGAAAGACTGATTCCAGAGGTAAAAATCGAAAACATTGAGAAGCTGGCTACCTTGGGATTAGTTGGAATTTTCTCTTTTGAAAAGAG